CCATGCCAGCATCGCCCCACCCCCCTGGCTTGGGCCCCCCTTGCTCCCTTTCCTTCTACTGCCTTTCCTCTCTGCCCCTTTGAAGGGCAATCTTCAAAGCTCAGCTGGACCCCACCCCTGCCTTGTTCCCTGAAGCTCCCCCCAATCCCCTCCTGTCTCTACCACTCTGGTGACAAATGGTCACATGATCCACAGTGGTACCTAGCGCCCTCATTTTCCACTGGACGCCCAGCAAGATTATAAACTGCTTGAGGGTAGGGGCTGTGTCTTATCTTCAGCAACCTAATAGAAAAGGATCCAAGCCAATAGCCTCTTTGCACAGAAGTCAGATATTCCCCTCCCTCCTCCCACTGTCATCCATACATCCTAGTCCATTCCATCCACCTAATCTCATGAGGGAAGAAATCCTAAATGAACTGAACAACAGCTATGCAACCACAATGCATATGAGGTGCCTACTGCATGCTGGGTATTGGGGATGCCCTGGTGAGCAGCGCCAGACCAGAGTCCCTGCACGCAAGGAGCACCCCAGACAGAGGGACCGGTATTTGGAAATGAGTAACTGGGCCCAGCCATTCCACAGAAAGTTACATCTCTTAATAGCAGGGAGATCATATAGTTTATTGCCCAAACCAGGACATTTTTGAGAGTAAAAATAGGATCTGTTAATAATTACACTGAGTCAATAGATGCTCTGGACAAACAGGGTGCATGGTTGCATTAATTAAGAGCCACAGTCCCCCTGCCTCCTGCACCTCTAGCCACAAAAGGAACTTTGGCTACTGGTCAAATCTGCCAGAGATCTGAGCCTTTGTCTGACCTTGGATGAGGGAGAAGACAGAGGATGCACTCCAGGAACGAGCAGGGGAGGGGAGGGTAGGAAGGACTGTGCAGGCCCCAGAGCTAGAATCGGTGATCAGGAACTAGGGCAGGCCTATGTCTGGGACTGGGGGAGGCAGGCAGGTGTGGGACACAGCACCAGCCTCCAGCCGCTGTGTCTCTGAGCTCGGCTCACACGCAGGTGGCTTTTGCAGGCAGGCTCTCCACCCTCCCCATCTGCCCAAGTCCTGCCTGCTTCAAGGAAAATGGGGACATTGGGGCTCCTGTGGCTTCTTGGAGTTTCTTTTACTCTACCTCCTTATACAAAGGTGGCCTGGTTTGTACTTGCATTATAGGCAGAGCCCCATGGAGTGTGTGTGTGTGTGTGCGCGTGTGTTTGAGACAGAGAGACCTATTTCCCTCTGTCCCTCTGTCTGTCTGACTCTCAGACTATTAATACAAGCCCCACGTCTGGCTGCGCCCCCAGACCATATGCTCCTGCAGCAGAACGCTGCCCCTCCCAGCTGAGCCTGTCTGTTCCGTTTCTGATTGGCGCCAGGCTCGTAGACCCCATGTAGGTAGAATATAACTTTCCATAAATAACCCCTAGCCCGACCTACAATTTAGCCTTTGGGTTTTTTCCCCTCTCATGGTAATGAGATTGTAACCTGGGCTCATCGCTCCTGGATCTCCGGGTCCCAGAAGCAGACCCTAGGTGCATCTCAGTGTTGGGGCATTGGTTTGAATTCCTGGTCCCCTGACACTGCCTCACACATGGTGAAGACTCAGTACACACTGAGGAATTGTCTCCTCTGCTCACGAACCTTCAGCCTCAGTGTCTTGGCTTGGGCTGTGTCTTCTTCCTAGGATGTTCATGCTCCCTTCTCCACCTGGTAACCCTCTAAGCAGCATCCATCTCCGTGAAACCCTCCCTAAGCTTGATCCCTCATCCCCACCACGGAGTAAATTACTGCTGTCTTTGGTCCAGGTAACACTTTGTCCAGAACAATGTGACCTGATTATTTGCCCATGTGCCCACCATGCTCTGAGCAGCTTGAGTGAGTGCCAGGCTGGGGAACTGAGCCCATGTCTGGCAGTAGGCAAAACATTTAACCCCTTGGTGCCAGATTCAAACACAAACCTGGCTCCAGAGCCCGTGTCCCACCCCCTGTGCCGCACTACCTCTGGGGACTGGACGATGTATCCATTTCTTACCTGCTCTCCAGTTCTGGGCTCTGGCACACCCCTCACGAGGCATGGATTCCCTGTAGGGTCTCACTGAGGCCAACTCTGGGTCTGGAGGCAGCAACACTGACATTTATCAAAGACTTGTTGACGATGATAATGAATTTAGGAGGGCTCATTGGGAATTAAAGGGAACAGTCGTGGGGAGGAACTCAGCTTACTTTGGGGGATGGGCTGGGCTTTATTCAAAGCTTTGCAATTGGTCATCCCTCCTTATGGAAACAGAAGCGTACTTCTTGAGTCTCAGTTAGCATCCAGCACTATCATGTGAGGCAAGACTTTTCAGAGAAGTACAAGACAGGATCCCTGCTTGTGAAACTTACATTTTCACTGGGGAGGCATAAAGTTCAAGTTTGGGAAAATGCTTGACTGAGCTCCTGTGAGCTGGTGCTAAGGTGTCTTTAAGGTGGCTTTGTGTCTACCCCAGTACTGAGCACAGCTCTGGGAGACGGGCAACCTATGAATGAATGTCGAATGGAAGACAGAGCATCAGGAACCAAAGGAGTGGCATGGATAAAGGGGTGGGACGTCTAGGGAGAGAGGGATCAGTGGGGATTGGAACATCTCTAGAAGGTTCAGGGAAGAGGTGACAAGGAATATGAACCCCAAAGAAAGAGCAGGAATTGTTGCAGGTGGTAAGCTAAGGAGGCAGGGATGGGACAGCCCGTGGCCACTGGGGAGTCATAAGGAAATTTGGTGGAATGGGGGATGGGAATCAGCTTGACTTGTCAGACTGAGAAGCCTGAAATTGATCTGGGGCAAGGAGGAGCTATTGAGGGATTTTGAGCAAGGGTGTGACATGATGAGAACAGTATTTCTGGAAGACAGTGTGGAGGGCAGGCTGCTAAAGGGAGACCAGGCTGAGGTTAGTACAATGGCAGGGGGGAAGGTTTGGAAAGGAAGGGACGAACATGACCTTTCAAAGGAAGGACAGAATTGCTACCAGGGCCACCATAACGCAGTCAAAGTTACCTCCAACGTGTAAGCCCTAGCGACCAAGAGAAGGATATTAAGGTGGACAGAAATGACCAAGTGTGGTTGATGAAATGAGACCACATCCTCTCTGTAACAATTCATTGTCTTTATTAACAATGCCTCTGGATTCTGAAAGAACAGACTGATATTTCATAAAGCAATATTAACACTGTCACTCTCTACCAGAAAAACTTTTGCATAAATAACTTAAGTGAGAAAATAAATATGTAACTCTTTTTTCCCCCCCAAAACTGCTACTTTCATTCTTTTGGACAAATCCCACATGAAAAGATTGCAAAACCAACCATGCTTTCACCATGGCATGTACTTCTGTTTAAAAAAAATTTGTTTTAAACAATTAAAAACTGCACAGAAAGTAAGTGATGCCTGGAAATGATTTTCCAAGAGATTTTTGGATGGCAGCTAGGAAGCTTTGCAATTTCTCAGCATATATACAGCACTTGTCATTTCTTCCCCAATAATATTATTTTAACGTAAGATATGCCATCACACATAACAGCAGTGAGAAGCTCTTTTCCAGACAGAAATGTTTCTGTGAGTGGTAGGCAGGAGGGACCTGCTGGTCTCTGAATGGGTGGTGGCCACCCCCTTGGGCCGGCAAGCCCAATGTTCTGGGACCTCGAGCTTCTCTGCAAAAAGTGACCTTAAAATATGGCCTTGGATTGGGGGAGGGGGCACTGCTTTTTGGGAATAAGGTGGTGATTTCTGTCCCTCCCTCTACCCTTGGAACCTTCTTCTCTACCCCAGCTGACAGTGCTGTTTCTGCATCCTTTGAGATGGAAGAAGGGAGGTCACCAAACATCTGGGGAGGCCAGGCTGGGACACACCACAGCTTCTTGCACAAGTTTGTCAGCCATAAATAGATTCTTCTTTTTTCCTGCTTTTCATCTTTGGCTGTCAGATCAGAAGATTACAACGCCAAATTCTGGAAGCCACCACATCAGTGATTCAATCCAAACTCTCTCTCTCCTCTGCCCATTCAAAGGGCTCCTCAGTCCTTGGAATCACGTGACATTAGATTCCTCCAGATGCTAATCCCACCCCTACCTCCATTTTTCAAAGAGGAAATAGAGGTCCAGAAAGAAAAGCGTGTAATCTGAGGTCACCCAGCACGTAGAGGC